ACTCACTAAATAGATTTTAAAAAATCAGTATATACTTTGCAATTCTGTTAACAGCAACCTCTAGCTCGGTTTCACTACTCAGGTTGATATAATTGGCTATTCTAGGTAGGCAGATGTGCTCTGCATTGGGAGCTAATAGCCTTCCCTGTCGTGATCAGCATGCAGTTATTAAGAAAACACAGTCCCATTATTTTAATTGGGAAAGGAGAAGAATCAAGAGGTTACAGAAGCATTGCTTTCTTATTTCCTTCACACAGAAATGGGGCAGCTGGGGAATGCATACGGACAAGTGAAATGTCTTATTTCCCAATCCTAACCCCCACCAGATAGAATACAATCACAGCACTGCTTGTTATTAGTTGATCTTTCCTAAAAAGTTATTTTGTTCCAGATTTAATCATTTCAAAGGCAGATTGCTATTGTAGCCACTGGTGCTGAAAGCATATTTCTGCTTAAATACATTTGTATTACATTTTTACTTTAGTGGCCAAATAACTATCACATATTTACCAGGCTCACAGATTGATTCTATGTAAACATGAATTAGCCTTATCAGTCTTATGGATTTAAACATAAAGACCATTACAATCTATCCATCCATCCATACCTCTCTCTGTCTGCCTATCTTTCTATTTCTCTCTGTATCTCTTCCGTTGTCTATGTTTCTCTCTCTCTCTCACTGTGTTCTGACATTGCAGTGTTGCAATTTTAACTACTTAAGGACCGCGGAGGTACTAGGTACAGTCGACAAAACCCCCCAGGTGTTGCTCCCAGTCTGGGGGGACTGCCTGACAGCCCAAACAGTTCCCCCTCCGCAAGGAGTGATCACATGGCCGCAATATGCGTCCACAGTGCTGCCTGCAGGTGGACTGCCTAAACTGACAGGCAGTCTCCCTGCATCTGTAAAATAAAACAAAAATAAAAAATAAAATATATATATATTTGTGCTCGGAATTTAATAGGTTATGGAATGTATAAGATGATGCATAGTTGGTTGAGGTGTGCCAAAGCCAACAAATTAGTAGGCCTGTAATAAAAGAGGGCCTACCAGGTGATAATGTAATAATTGATGGGTGTAGGTGGGTGGGGTCAATCAGCGTGAACAGGAGAGGTGAGTAGGGGCTGAGAGTTAAAGTAGGGGACATAACTCCTCTCACAAATTCAGGCCTAATGGCCTTTTAACTTGTGCTCGGAATTTAATAGGTTATGGAATGTATAAGAAGATGCATAGTTGGTTGAGGTGTGCTGAAACCAACGAAAAAGTAGGCCTGTAATAAAAGACGGCAAAAAGGAGGATGTGAAAAAACACACTTTATTGCTTGTTATAATGCTAGATATCTAAATGCTTGTCTTAGTTCTTTCTCCGGTCATGGTATTTATGTATTGTAAATTGAAGATTTCCCGCGACCCAGTCTCTTGATGATGTGGACTGGTGTGTTAGCACTAGATGCTAATGATGCTGCACCTATACGGAAGGAGTGACTGGAGAAGGAAGCAGGGCTGAAGCCTAACCTTAACAGCAGAGTTATGACGTGTGACGTGAACTTAGCTGTGGTTAGAGGGTGCCCTTGAAGTAGTAGTAGTGGAGGGTCAGGTGAGTGCGTATTGTGAGAATTTAGGAAAGTGTAGAGTACTTTAACTGGGCACCAAGCATGCCCAGTAGGGAAGAGAGGAATGGTAGTGGGATGATTCGTGTGGTTTGTTTTGGTAGAAAGTAACGAAAGGACATAGTGGTCATTGACTTTATTTAGGAGAGAAAGCTTGAGACATGAGGTGGTATCTAACTGACGAACGACAGTAAATTGCGTGCATTCGAATGGGACTTAGTCTTTTTTCTATGTGAAATAGAAAATAGGTCAAATAGGACTACCAGCTATCTTCCGAACCACTGAACCAATTCGGATGATTTTTACATATGTTTGTATACTGATTATGCTGGTTCAGAATATGTAACTTTTATAGGAATTGCATGTATAGTTGGGAAGTTATGAATATTGTATAAAACTGTATATTTTCATGCCTGCGATAATTAAGTTAGCCCATTGTGTTCAGTAATTATATCACAGGCAGAGGGGAGGGTTTGTGTGCAGTATTTGGGAGTGTTTAAATGTACAAGTCTGTCCTGATTGGTTTTTACAACATTATGTCCTGTATTCCACAAGGTCCACGTGGGTGGTAACCTAGTGGGAAAATATGTATATAAGTGCAAATAAACCCTCAGACTGCTGAGTTACTGTTTTACCCTCAACATAGAGCCTCATCTCATATGTGGTGGAAAAGGCTGCATCTACACTGGGTATTGCTATATGCTGGATACTCCCCCAGGGCCGGACTGGGGATACGAAGCAGCCCTGGAAAAAAATCTATGCCAGCCCCATAAGTCATTGTGCTATGTAGGGTGTTATATATTAAAGGACCACTATAGTGCCCTGAGGGTGCCCCCACCCTCAGGGTCCCCCTCCCGCCCAGCTCTGGAAGGGGGAAAGGGGTAAAAAATTACCTTTTTCCAGCGCTGGGCGGGGAGCTCTCCTCCTCCGATCCTCCTTCTCTCCTCCCCGTCGGCTGAATGCGCACGCGCGGCAAGAGCTGCGCGCGCATTCAACCGGTCACATAGGAAAGCATTCATAATGCTTTCCTATGGACGCTGGCGTGCTCTCACTGTGAAAATCACAGTGAGAAGCACGCAAGCGCCTCTAGTGGCTGTCAATGAGACAGCCACTAGAGGAAATAGGGGAAGGCTTAACCCATTCATAAACATAGCACTCTGAAACTGCTATGTTTATGAAAAAATGGGTTAACCCTAGCTGGACCAGACACCCAGACCACTTCATTAAGCTGAAGTGGTCTGGGTGCCTAGAGTGGTCCTTTAATGTATGTATATATATATATTATTGATACATTTCTTCTTCTAATTCAAAATATTAGTCCTTTCAGGGTAATTAAATTATACAGTAAAGCATACTCACACACAGACACAGACAATCTTACTGATGCACACAAATAGGCTCATTGACAGACAATCTCAATGACACACACAGACAAGGTTACTGGCAGACACACAAATTTAGTACAGACAAACTCTGATACACACACAAGCTTACTACAGACAAGCTCACTGTCACACACATACGCTCACTACAGACAAGCTCACTGATGCGCACACACTCTCCCTACAGACAAGCCCATTGACACACACATGCTCCCTACAGAAGAGCTCACTAACACAGATTCACTACAGACAAGCTCACTGACACACATATGCTCACTACAGACAAGCTCACTGACACACAGGCTCACTACAGACAAGCTCACTGACACATATGGTCACTACAGACAAGCTCACTGACACACACACTCACTACAGACAAGCTCACTGACACATATGGTCACTACAGACAAGCTCACTGACACACACGTTCACTGACACACACGCTCACTACAGACAAGCCCACGATCACACCCATGCTCCTTACAGACAAGAGCTCACTAACACACACACATATGATCCCTACAGACAAGCTCACTGACACACACACACACACACACACAGGCTCCCTCACTAGCAGGTGCGCACACACACACAGAGGCAGACAGTCACTGACACCGAGGCAAACATCCACACATACAGACAGGCAGACAGCCACACACACACAGGCAGACAGTCACACACACACACAGGCAGACAGTCACACACACACACAGGCAGACCGTTACACACACACAGTCACACACACACACACAGTCACACACAGACAGTAACATACACAGGCAGACAGACACACACACAGACAGTCACACACACACAGGCAGTCATACACAAAGGCAGTC